GGCTGGGGAGGGGGCCTGTGGTTCCTTCTGCCCCCTTCCCAGCCCTGAATCTGCCGAGACTGCCAGGAGCAGCTGTGCTGTTCCAGCCCCTCTTGCTGGCCATCTTCCGTCTCCCCACCAAAGAGCCTCTTTCTGCTCTCTGGACGGATGGACGCTGCATTTGCGGGGCATCAGTTTCTGCAAAGGTCCCCCTTCTCTGCTCGCCAGGGAGGGGCCCCGTTCAGCGCAGCAGCTGTTGGTCCCCTCCCTCCCTTCAAGGTGGCAGAGAAGCTGGTTCTCCTTCTCCTGAGCGCAGGCAGGATCCTTTCCCTCCCATGCACCCCTGCCCACGAGCGGCTGGACTGCTCCGGCTTCTGATCTGCCGCTTTCCCAGCCAACCCTCCAGAGTCGTCTTCCTTCAGCAATGGCCGCATGCCTTGCAGGGACCCAAGGCTAGCACCTTGTCCTGAAAGCACGGAAGCAGGGGCTGGACGGAGCATCCGTTTGCAAGAGTTAGGTTGTCCGGAGGCAGGAAAAGCCTCTCCAGGGCACGAGGCGCTCTGCCAGTTCAATGTGCCAAGGCCCTTTGTCGCTGCCAAAGCCTGGCGCCCACACGATAAGGGCAACGCCAGAGAAGAGGCACCTGGTGAGCGTATCTTTGGCCGGCAAGCAGAGAGAAAAAGCAGAGTTAGCTCATCCCGGTGATGCCAAGGCCTCTGAGTCAGGTCTGGTTCTCGATAGAAGATGGAGGCTTTGTTTTCCAGTTCCATGACTTGCCCTTAAAAGGACTGGCTGGGCCGAGAGGACAGAGTTTATCTGACTTTGGAAGGGGCTCCTGGGCTGATGCAACCACCTCCCGGCTTCCAAGCCCTCCAGCCTTTGGAAGGACCTGGGATCCGTCAGAGGAGGCTGCGGGCCCAGCCCAGCCCGGCCCTCCTCCTCCTCCTGCGGCTGAGAGAGCGAGCAGGGGAGGAAATGCAGTGTCTGCTCAGGTTCCATCCAGTTCTTCCCTGATCATCTGCCCTTGAGCGAGGAGATCTCGGCCCCTTTTGGATCCCCCCACCTCCCTTATCTCTGCCCCCCCAGCCGAAGAGCTGCAAATGCCGTTGGCCAGCTGGTCACCCTGGCAACTTTTTATCAGCCTCAGACTCTCTTGCGCCTCCAACGAGAGCCTGCCTGGCCCTGGCCCTGGCCCAGGCCTGCTTCCGGAGAGATCGCCTCTGCCCTTCTCCGCCTCCAGGGACCACGCGGAGGAATTGCCGGAGGCCTGGGGAGGGCCAGCGCTGCCTGGCCGCTGGAAAACCAGCCAGCTGGATTTTTCAGCTGGAAATTTCCCTGCTTCAGTGTGCTGGCCGGTTTCAAAGGGCACCCTTTGCTAGTTACTTTCGATTTTCAAGAATATTATTGTTATTCCCGCTGTTTGTTTCTGTTAAAGTTGCCCTTTCGGACACTCTGAATCCAAATTGTTTGCCCTGCGGGGGTGGATCCTGGCCATACTGCGTCTGCTTCAGTGTTAAAAACAGACACGAGTGACGGATGCCAGTGGCTGGCTTCAGAAACAGGTGGTGCTTTGGAGGGTGGGTGTCCATTTTTGTCCCCGGGAGGGGGAGGGGAGGCGGCCACACTTAACTCTCTTCCCCACTCCTCCAAATATTTCTGCTCTCCAGGGAGCTGACGATTCGGCTGCATCAGTCAAACGCATATTTTAAGGTCCTCCATCACTTACGCCGTCTGGCCTTTGCTATAAAAAGTGCCCCCTTCCCTGTCCATCCCCCCAGAGCAGGGGAGGAACGACGATGACCCTGTTCTGTCCACAGTTACTCAGAGCACCTGTTCTTTGCAGCATTTGCAAGGATTCTATACACTGACTGGCGAGAGAAGATGCCACCCTGTTTTCTAGCACTCTCTCGCCCTTCCTGGGTTAGAAAACTGGCTGCTAAATATCTGACGTGCGACCTGCACATCAGCAAAGCGCAGCTGAGAAAGAGGAAGTGGGTTTTTTTAAAAAACAGAAAAATGCTGAAAACAGTTGAATAATATCCCTCTTTTCTGCACGCACATCGAACAATCGTTTCACCCCTATCTATTTATGCATCGGCTTTCTTTCAGCATGGATGATCATGGCAGCAGCCCTCCGTCCCCCAAGAATGAGAATGAGGTGTTGCTTTAAGACGTTAAGCAAGACACAGAGAATTTGTACGTGGTAGGAAATCAATTGCTTTATTAGTGTCTCAGAGGCACCGACGGAGAGCTCAGGTGGTTTATCGTCTTTACTGTAGAAGGCACTGATCAGGCGTCAAGTGCAGGAAAAAAATTACACCGGAAGCAACCCTCTCGGTCCCCATCCACAGCTCTCCTCTACCCTTTGGGGAACACTGCCCAAGGACTGAGGTTGGGCTGGGCCTGGATTGGTGCTTGAATCCTTGTCGTTCAAAAGAGAAAGAGAGGGAATCAAACTCACATTTGGGGAAATTTCTGTTCCCGCTCTGCTACGCTTCTGTAGTCTTGCTTGAATCTTCCGAGGCCAAGGTTTCATCAGCACAGCTGGATTTCGCCCTTCAAACCCTCTCGTCCAAAGCAGGAAGCCGATGCTAGGGGACTGTCGTTGGCAGAGCCGGGCATGTAAAACGAGGCGGGGGGAGACGCGCACTGGTTCTGAGTTTGTTCCAATTCCTGCCAGCAATGGCTGTGAGTTCTGGGAACATCAGGGCTGGCCGGCCGAGACCAATTTCTCCTCTTTTCCATCACAAACGTAACTGGAGAAGGACCAGATGAAGAACTGGATTTCTTTGCTCAAAGCCGTGGATCTGGACCATCTCGGGTGAGCCCTGATATCCTGAGCATCATGGCCGAAATGGAAGTGGGAGTCCCATGCGCGGTTTCTCTAAAGGGAATTGTGGCAACACTCTGCAGGGTGTGGGGAAAATGCCACACCGGGTTAGGGGCCCACCTGATCCCCCCTGGATTGCTCCCTAAAGCCAGTCCAAAGCCCCAAGCAGGTCCAAAAGGAAATTAGAAGAGCCTTGCCCTGGCCGACTCCCCAGCCAAATGCAGGTGCCTCAGAGACCCCTCCCCAGCTCCCAAGGCCACGCTTTTCGGCTTACCAAACACTCAGGAGCAGGTTACCGGGGGCTTTCAAGTGCTGTGAGTTTCCCCTCCCTCTTAAAAGCAAAGGAACATCCTGATATTTCTACAGAGAGGAGGGAAGGGGGGTTGCCAGCGGTCTAGATCCATCCCATTTAAAAACAATGGCACATATGCCAAAATGGGTGTCCTGACACCCCCCCCACAGATAAATGGGGAGGGGATAACAGAAAAAAATGATTCCTGAAAGATCCAGTTAAGAGAGAGAACAAAGGGAGGGAAAGGGAATCATGAGGATGCTGAAAACTCCCAGACTACTCCGGGGTCAACTCTTAGCTAAACTTCCTAACGGCTCTCACTTCTAGGCTGATCCCTTTACCCTTGGAGCAGACGGGAGCACAGCTCTTTTACCCAGGAGAAACGGCCTGGTGCAAAGCCTACGCAAATTTCTGAGCCCCGCTTTGAAGAGAAAGGGGTGGCTGCTTGGGAAGCCGGCCAGTGGGCTGCTCGATGCTCCTCCTGAATTTGTTCCTCTTTTTCCTAGAGTAAGGCACGCCGGTATGTTACAGGCTTTGCTACCAGAAAAAGTCTCAATCTTTACGATGTGTGGACTTCCGCTGCCAGAATTCCCTAGCCAGCATGCTGGGAAATTCTGGGAGTTCCACAGCCAGCATGCTGGGGAATTCTGGGAGTGGAAGTCCACACATCTTGAAGTTGCTGAGGTTGAGAAACTCTGCTGTAGATGAAGCACTTCTGACCCGGTAGAGGGGGCATCGTAAAAATCTGCTGGGACAACTCCACAGTAGCAAAAACCCAAGAGGTGGGAGAAAAAATGCTCCAACATTTTTGCATCAATAATGCAGCCTCCAATATTTGGGGCAACGTAGTTCAGAGGTTGAGGGTGCCACGCTTATAAAAAGGGGGTGTGACATTGGATCTTACTAAACAACTCATTTTCCTCCTGGGTACAGCTGGGAGCAGATGAAACATAAGATTTTCTTTTTTTAAAAAACGGCTTCCCAAATTGCTGGTTACACTTAAGGTGAACACGACTGCTCCCTTGCTATCAGACTCTGGACTCGAATGCCTTTTTTCTTTTAAAAAAGAATTTTAAAAAAGCCTATCACAGAAAATGTTAAAGGGGTGAAAATGTTGCCTAACCAAGCTTTTGATTGTCAGTGGGACTATCTCGAATTTCAAAGAGAAGGAAGGGAGCTAGGAAAAGAAAAGTTTGTGGAACTGAAAAAGAAGTGATGCATTTAGCGGGAATTACACTGTTTGTCACTGGCTGGAGTTAATGGCTGAAAGGCAACCTTTCAGTTGTCTTCCGAAGACTGGAGATCCATGTCCCCTTCAGGCCGGAATTCCAAGGGTTGGCGGTGAATCTCATCACCAAACAGGAAAGGCATGGCCTCCAGCTCGGTATCCTTGCCTCCTTTCACACAGGTCTTCTGCCGTAGGTCATCCAATATGTTCTCATCTAGGGTCTCCAGGCCTTCCTGATCCAGGGAGACCTTCTCGAGAACTTCAGGACTGACCTCCCCACTTCTAAACCCTTTTTCGCTGGCTGGCATTGGTGGTGGACTCTGGCTTACGGTCTCTGCCATGGGGAAGTTGTCCAACCCCTCTGTGCAGAACTGTGGGGTGATAGTCACCTCCTTGATGAAACCATCTCCAGAACTGTCTGTCTTGTCCTGCCCAATGCCGTTGAGAAGTTCGCTTGTGAACTCTTCCAAGCTGGGTTCCTCCTGCAGCCCATTAGCGTTGCTTTCTACCAATGGATGGATTTGTTTTGGGCTGCTGGTCATGGGAGAAGAGCTTTTCAGAGCCTCTGTGGAAACCTGGGGTTGACCCTGGTCCAGAGATGAAGGGGGAACATGGAGAGACCTATCTTCTGGGGAATGCTGGGCGTCCTTGCCAAGGGCTCCCAGCTCATCCCCAGCTGCCTTGATCAACTCTTGATTAAACTCTAGTGCTTGTTCTACAATTTCTAGAATATCATGGTCTCTCCTGCTTTCTAGTGAAAGGCCCACCACATCCTCTGGGAAAGTTTTGGGGAAGCCTGTGCCTGATGGATCTTCCACAGCCATGATTTTCTGCTGAATCAGATCTTCTGGGTCTGAGACGTGGAAACATTCGTCCTCACAAGATACCAAAACGTCAGATTCTACAGCCCCTTTTGGACCAGACAAAGAACCTTCTCCTTCCAGCACTATTTCTCCCAAATCAGCAACACTGGTCAGGGGTGAAACCTTTGTGGGGGCCACATCTGTAGGATCTTGGTCGCTAATTTCCAGGGGGCCCTCCTCCTCCTCCTCCTCCTCCTCCTCCTGCTGGGTGTAGCTGGGGTCAAACCCATCTGCTTGGAACACACAGTGCTCTTCTAGTTCTAAAGCAAGTTCTGAGTCTACCTCTTCCTTGGGAACCTCGGACCCTTTTTCCACATCGCCCTCTTGCCATGGGTCTTCCTCAGGATCTCTGCCAGGTACCACTTCCAGTTCTTCATGCTCCTCCTCTCTTGTCACCTCAGCCTCCACCATGCCCTGATCATCCTTCTCTCCCATGAATGGTGATGTTTGGATCACAGCTTCTGCTAATCCCTCTGCAGCCAGAGGCTCTTCTGAGCAAGGCCTGTCTTCCTCAGGGAGAGCCTGTGGACTGCAACCCCTTTCTTCTTTTGGAGCTCCTCCTTCCATGCCATTTTCCTTTGCTAGCAGAATGCTTGCGCTGTCTTCTTCTGAAATAGGTGGCTCATCTTCTTGGGCCAAAAGAGGCATCTCTTCCCTTTCCAGAAAAGGAACGGATGAAGTCTCAGTCATGGCCAGCACCTGCCCGTGGTACACATGCAAGGCAGTGTGATCTGGCAACGTCTCCTCTAGCAGGATGACGTGCTCCTCTTCTGTCCCATCTCTCTCATTGTTGGAGTTTGGGCTGGATTCTAAATGTTCCAGGATCTCCTCAGGCCTTGAATCCTCCCTCTGGAAAATGAGGTCAGCTGCAGGTCCCTTGGCCTCTGGGGGGGATCCCAGCTCTTGGTCTTCTTCTGGGCACGTGGTCTGTTCAGTCCAGGGGCCTTCAGCCACTGATGGCTGTTCTCCTGCTTGATGATTGTTAAGCCCAAATTCCTTGTCTTCAGAGCACTCAAGGGCATTTTCCTTTCTTTGCAGTAAGTTTTCTCTCATGATGGTGCCGGTTACTTCTTCCACCTCCAGGGCATCTGTGACTTCTTCACTTTCTGGTGCTTCAGAGGCTGTCATCAAGTCTCTTTCCTTCAACTCGCTACCTTCAGCTTGCAGCAGAGACTCTGAGAGCCCTCCTCCTCCTTCCTTCTGCTCCTCCAGTGGCTGTTCTTCAGGCACCTCTGTTCTTTGCTCTTCTTGATGTGTCTCCTGCACCTGAAGGCTTGCCACATCCTCACCTGGCAAAATAACACCCAGTTCCAAGGTACTTTTGGGTGCCTCCAAATCTAAGTAACTTTCTCTCTCCACTGTTCCTTCATCTCCCATATCATCTCTGAGAAGACTTTCGGATTTGAAAACCTCTTCTCGTGCCTTCTTCTCATCCTCTTCTGTGATTTCCCTGCTCTTGATCGCCTTTGGCTCATCTGCCAAAGTGCCATCTTCATCTATGGCAGAGCTTCTGGGCAGGGCATCTTCCACACAGAAGACCTCAGAGTCTAAACCCTTCTCCTCGTTCTCTTGCTCTGGCAGAGCAGAATCGGTCTCATGAAGAGGCTCTTCTTGGCTCTCAAACTTCTCCTGCTCATCCTTCAGGAAGAGAGGCTTTTGGTGTTCACCCGCAGACAATGCCGTATGGATGGTGGGTGACCAGTCCTCCCTTGCTGAATTCCCTTCCAACTGCAGTTGTTCCCTCCCCAGCAGCTCTGCCTGCAGATCACTCTGATTATTTTCTCTGGGTGGACTCCAGGGCTCTCTCGTTTCCTCAGGCAGATCTTCTGTGCTCACCATCTCCACATCTTCAGCCTCTCCATAGACCTCCTCCATGTTCACTTCTGAGGCTCCTCCAAGAACATCAGGCTGGAGGCTGCCACGCTCCCAGCCCTCCTGGTTACTGCTATCATTTCTCGGTGCCTCTGTGGCAGATTCAGGGTGCTTGGGTGCTTCTCCCAAGTCATTCCCCAGCGCCATACCCAGTAATGTAGGCAACTCCTCATCAGTATCGCTTTCTTTCCACTCCGGAGATCCTGTTTCTTCATAAGTCTCCTTTTTTCCAGTGACCAAAACTGCTACATCTTCCACAATTCTCTCTGCCCTGGGCAATTCTGCTCCCAGGGGCAATGGGGCCTCTGCACCCAGAGCCGGCCAAGCCTCTTCTGTTCCTTGCAGCTCAGCCCAGGCTTCCTGGCCACCGTTGACCTCAGCAAAGTCTTCACAGGCCTGGAGGTCCTCTAGGAGATTGGTGGGTTGACCCTCTCCCATGCGGTCTTCCTGGGCCATCTCCAGCACCTCGGTACTTAGGGGAACAGCGTCCTTGTTCTCCTCTTCCAGGGATGAAGGGTGGCCAAGAGAATCATCTGCTTGGCTTTTGACCGCGTTGAGCAAGCTGGGTTCAAGGTGAGCCTCTTTTCGGTTCACTTCCTGGATGGCAGTTTCCAAAGCTTCTGTGACCATCTGGCTGGGAAAAGGCCCATTCAGGACTTCTCTCTTTCCCAGTGGCTCAGTGCTGAGCCATCTCTCTTCGTCATCCTCCATCTCCTTTTCTCCAAAGGCTTCTTCTTCATTTCCTCCTGTACCTTCGGCCTCCCTCTGGGCCAGGGCTCCCTTTTCGCCCTCCTCTTGTTGCTCGAGGCTCTCAGCGGACCTTCCCGAAACCTCCTCCAGCTCAACGGAGTTGAAAGGCAGAGGGGTGTGTGTGTGGAAGACGGACTGGGCCACGCTCTCAATGTGGGTGACCTTCTGGCTTTGCTGAGAGGAGTCCAGGCTAAAAGCAGAGGCCTCCTTTGGCGGCAACGGCCTCTCAATGCTTTCGGTGGGCTGAGAGTGCCGGAGGGCGGTGTTGGCCTTCTGGAACTCCCTCGCTGCGGAGCTGTGGTTCTTGGCCCCCAGGGGACCGAGGCTGGCGGAGACCGACTCGGCTTTGCTTTGGAATCCACGAAGCTTTGGGGCCCCCTTTGGGAAAGCGACAGGGCTGGGCCGGACATCCCGGCTCCCCGAGCGCCCCCGATCCGTCGGCAGTCCCTGCAGCTTGCCTTGAGTCGCTTCCGCTGTCACATCTGCAGGCAACACAAATGGGGAGAATGAGAGCACCACTCAAAGGCAGCCGCCGATCCCTCCGCTAAGACTCATCTGACTGAGCGGACGGATCTGTGGCCCTTTGCAGGTAAGAAAAGACCCGGTCTATGGAGGGGGAAGGACAGGGTCGCTTTGTAAACGTCTGCAGGCCAGTGTCACAGGAAGCATCGCAAAGTGAGGGTTTGTTATCCTCTCCCTGATGGGAAAGAGCAGCAGTAGAGGGTGTTCCTAGGAATCCTTGGGTTAAAGGTAATTCAGCACAATCTGTGCTTTCCCCGGGAAGCAGAGATTAGGAAGGGCTGCGCATTGCATATATCACCAGGGAGATGCAACCCAGGGAGCGTTCTCTCTGGGCCAGGCTCTCCCTGCTGAATGGCAGCTCTGCCATGGTGGAAAAGCGTCCAGATGCCTTTCATTCTTTAGGCCCCCCCCTTGGAGCCCCGGCCGCACCCGTACCTCGCAGCCCCCTGGCCAGCTGGAACTCAGCGCCTGGCATCTGCAGCCTCGTGCTCTCAGCTTCCAAGAGGGTCCTGCAATGCAAAAACGGAGGATTCTTGAGCACGGAAAGTGCTGGAGGGTTATTTCTGGCGGTCCGAGAGGCCACCAGGAATGTCCCCCAACAGCTGCCTCCCCAGCCAGCATTCCTCCACCTTCCCAGCGCGGGGAGGCTCCCCCCGCCCTCACCCCGTGGATCCGGCCAGGCGGGGGCTAACACTAGCAAGCTGGTGGTGACATCATGCGGAGTCTGCTGGCCTCCCTCCCCCCCCCGCTTACCGGCAGCGCTGCCATTCTCATGCTAATGGAGCAGGACCCCCCCCACCTCCTTTTGTGTGGGAACCGTCTGGGGGAGGAGAAGGGAAGGGGGCAGAGGGGAGGGTCAGTCCGGTTCCCATG